ACGTTGCGGGAGAGCTCCCGAGGTCGATGGTCCGGGAGGCTCCCCACAGACGCCGGAGGCCGGGAAGCTGGCTACAGTCAGCTGGCACGCGTCCCCTATGCGAGTATGGCTCCTGCCAGTGCACCAGACTTACAGATGTGTCTTCAGAGGCGGGTTTGTGCCTAATAACGGCAGTATTGGAGAAAACGGCGCCGAACGCAGCGACGCGTGCCGGTGAGGCCGATTTTCTTAAACGGTCTTAAAAGAGGGACCCCCCGTGCCTGCAATCTCTTAAATGACAATTTGAGCCCCCAAACCTCCTCATTTCTTAAAAGGTCTTAAAAAAATCCGGCCCTCAGAACCCTAGGGGTACCCTAAGCCGCCTCGCAATCCTACATCTTCTAGGACTAAGAGCAGCTCCGCTCCCAATGACTGGTGACGCTTACGACTACTACCAGCGCGCTCGCAATCCGAGCAAAGTCTAGGATTGCGAGCAGCTTGGCTCACAATCCTAGCACGATGCCGCTCCGAATTCGAGCAGTAGCCTGAGCCCTGTGTGGTCTGACAGCCTGACAGCAAACCCCGGACAGCGCCTGACAGTGCCCGACAGTCTGACAGCACGTCTCTGACAGCCTGGCAGCAGAGCCTGACATCAGAGGCGTCCCGTCGCTGTCAGGCCCTAACGTGACAGCCTGACAGCTGCCCGACAGCCCGACAGCACACAGCGGCCTGACAGCAGCGCTGACAGCCCGACAGCCCGACCAGCCCGACAGCAGCACAGACCGTACTCAGGCCGTGCAGCCTCTTTCTTGTGTCCCATGAGGGTATAGCAAAACTATTACATGCAAAGACATGTGTATGTGGTCCGCGCCTTCGATTCTGTGGAGTCCGCGCCAACCTCTGTGCACAGACCGGCTTCTTCAAGCAGCCGTGATTGCACTTTCCTCTGGCTGACACCTATGTCGAGGGTGGCGCGTTGCTGGAGGAGCCGGGAGAGAAGGAGGATGATCCAAACGGCACACCCGATGCTGAGCCGGCCGAGCTGACCGCCATGGGCGCACAGGATGCTGCAGATGCCGAGGCCGTGCTGAACCAGCTGATGCGGACGGGGGCCAACGTGGCTCGTGGCGCCTCCAACCGGCGGCGAGGAGGGCAGCAGTAGCGCAGAGTTTTTTGAGGAGATCCGTAAGCTGCTGGCAGATTTCAACGTCTCCATCCAGGAGGAGTCAAAATTAGATATTCTTACCTTCTTGCCCCCCTCTGAGACTGGAGACAGTCACCACAGATACATACGTCTGTGGGAGTGCCCCCCGCCCCCGCTTGCCCTGCCTGCGCAGGATAGCGTGCCCCGATAGTGGCGACACATAGCGAGGGACACTGCGCAAGGAGGGGGTGCGTCGACTTCTTTTCTTTTTTTTTTGTCCTCTCGGGGGAATGTTCTCTCGGCGCCCATGGCCTTCTGAGGTTTCGTACTAATGACGTCCTTCTTGGCACTTCGGGCGTCGGTGTGTGCGTATCTGTGGTGTCTAATTCCCCCGGTATGCTATATAGGTTTCGAACGGCGACCTCCCTTTCACTCGCACCGATTCCTTGCTGGATACCTTTCCGCAAGCGGAAGGTCGCCAGTTCGAAACCTGCTTGCCCCTTATATTTTTTTCACCTGAGCGGGCTCAATTTTGCTCTAGGTGCCTCCTACGATTCGATCCCGCGTTCTCAGGCAGTCGCCTGGTGCGTTGTTCGTTTTTGTCATGGGAGTGTTTTCTGCTTCGCGTCATCACTCGCTCCAGGAGGAGTCAAAGGATCGCAAGCTCCGCTTCCACGTCAAGCGGCTCATCAAGTCCCATCAGCAGCGAGGCGAGGATGTGGATGAGGAGCTCGACTTCTACATGGATGATGATGACGGTGACCACGCCCTTGCCGCCTGTCACACACACACATAAGACGTGCATTCTCATCTCTCCCTCTTCTCTTTCTCTCCGCAGTTGCGGTGCTCTTCACCATGGAGGACAGCTCCAAGGTCTTTGCCATTGGCAACATCGAGCAGGTGGCCGTCGCCGACGGCACGGTAGACGCGCGCCGCGCCACTGGCAGCTCGAGCGCAGAGTACCTGCGCCAGCTCTCGATGAGTCAGCGCAGCAACGGGGTCTTCATCAACGACCCCAAGGGCCTCTTTATC